TAGAATACGGACAGTGTTATCGTTCCGACTGATTGGCTGGTAGTTATCTACCTTCTCCATGTTGCCAGTGGATTTTGTCAGTCAACTAGAGGTGGTTGTTGTCAGACCGCAATCTGCCTCACGCCACTCGTGGGGAAGACTCCTCCTGTAGATTTTTGATGAACGTGATGGAATAATGCAGCTGTATGAGTATCCCTTTTCCTACAGAGAAAGACTGATGATGTTGATCTACTGATGGAAGGAATGACAGAACCTGTCAACCGACGAGGCGGTGACGAAAATCCGTCCGCTTACTTATATAGAGCAGTTTTGGGAGCAGTTCTTGACGATAAAGTAGTTGATGTGATAAAAGTGACTTAATTGTTAACAAATTGTAGGTATCCACCGTCTTGCTAGAAGATCCTAATTCTCTCCCAGAAAAGAAATTGATTATGAAGAATTACTTCTTTCTGACAAGAAAATCCACGAGAGCGTGGTTGTGCTTGTATTTCTAAAAGATAAACTTCCCAATGATAAATTAATCTCCTGCCTTTGAGGGCGGTCAAGCGGCAGAGCGGTGAAAATCCCCTTCCCTCAGTGGTGGTGACCAGAGCGCTGACTCTGCCTATCTCTAGTTACAGATCATGTGATACATACATAGAGGCAGTCACCTCCCACTCGCTCTATTACAACTCCTCCAATCTCATCTACCAGTCGATGGGGCCTGTCGATCAACTACACTCGCTTTAAATCTGCAAAAAGCAGCAGGTGTCCGCCCATGACATCGCCCGGAGATGCTGCTCCGGTTAAACCTCCGCCGTCCTTCTCCCCTGGCGTTGCGCGAGTCGCATCCACATCACCATCACGATACCATGGGGAACATGAAACAAATCAATCTTTAGATGCGGAACTATCAGAATCCCAAACCGTCTCCTCGCCGACAGCTCTTTCAAACACGATCGCCGACTTACCAATACGATCTGGCTCGTCGCACTCGCGCTCTCGAAGATCTTCCACCCCACAGTTAGCAAGGTCATCAATCGGTTCTGCTTTCGATGGAAAGTCCGATGGTTCAGAAGATATAAGATCATTAATTATCCGGTCATTCTCACCGACGATCGCAGTCCATGCTTCGGAGGATACCGATAATTTGGTGAGGAGCAAGGGATTCAAAGGGGGATTTTGGGAGTTGGTGCGGCCCTTTGGAGAAACAGTTTCCGGAAAGGTGGTGATCCGGGATAGTATAGGCTCGAGTCGTGCATGGGAGGATTTTGGAGTGTCCTTTGTTGATTTCAGAGCGATCGGTAGGGCTGCGGCTAGTCGAGACTCTGGGCCCCTGGCGCAGATTGAAGAGTTGTTGACCAAGCAGTTAGACTCTTCAGATGACATGCTTGGTGCGTCGGTACGGACAAAGGATGTTCTGGGATTCCCTGCAACAACCCCATTATGCAAGTCGTTTTTGCAGCAACTGCTGTGTTCGGCACCTACAGCTCCCCACGAGACATTTGGCCACCCAGTAGCCAATGTAATAGCCATCAGCTCGCGCAACCCAGCTCCTTTGGAGTCACTCAGGCAGCTCTATGCTGATGGTACCACTGGAGACAAACAGCTACCCGACTGGATCAACCAGGAGTATCTTCGTTATTACGTTTTAGTTCATGACGAAGAACGAGACGATATCACAGAATCTATCAAGCTTTATGATCAGATGAAGCGGCACTTTGGGCTACATTGCCATCTTTTAAGACTTCGGAGCAGCCAGTGTGTGGTGACAGACGATGATAGCATGCAAGTTCCCCGGTGCGAATGGCTCTCGCCGTCGGAGTATCTGTCGGGGGCAGGTGAAGCAGGCAAGTGTTCGCTACTACACAAACAGACGTAAACTAACTTCCTGCTAGAAGCCTTGGTTGATCTCGGCACTGATGGCACGCCATATCTTTTTGGCTCCGATGCTACTGCGATTAGGGCATTCATCCGAGAACTTGTGGTGCAGTCCGTCATTCCCTTCATGGAAAATAAAGTAGCTGTCTGGAACGACCAGGTTGCATCTCGGAGGCGTGGTATAAGTGGCAGATTTATGTCGATGTCTCGGCGGTGGGCTGGCTTCGGTTCAAGCTCACGTTCAAGTATCGGAGGCTCGTCTGGGGGCAACGGCGGGAACTACGATCCAGCACAACATTCTTATAGTCCAGACTCCCCGGAGGCTCTCTTGCGAAAGATGGCGGACTTCGCGTTCATGCTCCGCGATTGGAAGTTAGCTGCGTCTACATACGATATGATTCGATCGGATTATGGTAACGACAAAGCCTGGAAGTATCACGCTGGTGCGCACGAAATGTGCGCTGTTAGCATGCTTTTAAATCCATTGGCCACATCAGCCAAAATCAAGCTTGAGAGCGTCGACCAAATGTTCGAGACTGCTTGTTACTCCTATCTCACACGTTGTTCAGATGCGCCACACGCACTGCGTTGTTTATCCCTAGCGGTTGAACTCCTCAAGTCTCGTGGCGGGTCAGCTACCGAGAGCGCAGCCAAATGGGCCATGCGGGTCATGGATTTTGGTCTTGTGGGCTCAGTGGGTCATATTCTATACACTGAAAGGGTAGCAGCTTGCTATGCTTCCAAGACACCAGTTGGTGCAGCGAAATGGGGTGGACGTCGCCGGAAAGCCGGCATGTGGAGCATCCTTGCTGCTGATCAATGGCTCAAATCTGGACATCCAACCCTAGCCTCGGCCTGTCTGGAAGAAGCTGAGCTTCTCTATGCTGACGTCTTGCAGGCTGACGGGGTGTTCCCTATGCCTGAGATGCAGAGCTTCGTTGACAATCTGCGCCATGCTGTCAAGGTTGAATATCTTGAATCGAGGGGATTCGATGCCCGAGATGCACCGGCTAGTGAGGATCCATTGGACACCGAAGAGACCAGCGAGAAGCTCGACATGCGCCATCATCGCCGGTCTCTAGTCGGGCATCCTGTGCAGCTAGATACCGGAGCCTTTAACACGACGCAGGGGCCTCTGGACTCTGAGGGAACACCCAATGATGACTTTGAACGAGCTTAGACTCACTACAGCCTTAATACCTCACCATAGCATATAGCCATAGAATACAAGCTTGTCCAAACATAAATTTAGGCATCCTTTGATTGTCGTAGAACTGCTAAGCATCACATTCGGACGCGTCACGTGGGGCTTATCGATAAAGCTGTTGCGCTATCTGCTTTGTCTCCGAGACAACTTGGCCTATTATTATCTGCTTACAGCGGGTCATATCATTCCTCCTCAACATACCCTTGCATGATGAGCGAACTACTGAAATATATCCTCACTCATGAGGAAGCATTCCGAAGGTAAAAACCGAGTCCTAAACAGAAGAGAGGATACCATGCTTACCTCGATGTTATGTCCTTAGGAACCGTTTACCCTCCCTATACTCTGATTTCACACCTCAGAAGAAAACAAACCCCGACGGCTACGCTGTTAACGTCGCCGCATGGGAACATGCACTCAACCGAGCCGCAAAGCGCGGTTATACCTCGTCACGCGGTGTGCGGGTACGTTCCGGCTCGACCATATCAGCTGAGAGCGGAGCACCCTTGAAACGAAAGAAGACAGACCATCTAATTCTGCGAACGGATGAATCGCTGCTCCGAGATTTAGAGAGTCCGGAGTGGGGGAGACCCGCAGCTCTGGGTACTGTATTTGTAGGTCTATTATCTTCCCCTTGGATGACAGAGCTGTTAAGCTAACTAATGAGGTTTACAGGATGAGGCAGTGCGCAAGAATTCAATGATTCCATTACCAATTTACAAGACAACTGCTGGGCTTCTGCAAAAGAAAAGTCAGTGGAAGCTAATTGATCCCGGGGTTCTGAGTCCTTGGAATGTTATGAGCTGGGGAGCTCGACAGCTCAAAGGCTTCGTTGTGGGTTCCGATAGCGATTCAGCACCGAAGCTGCAGGTGCAGGAGTTGGTCTTGATAGAGAACCTACAGGAAGCGGCAGACCTAGCGGTTAAGAAAGCCACAGGCGGCAAATCATCCAAGCTTGACCTTATTTACTCTAGGGAAATGTTTGTTGAAGAGTTTGCGGCCATACTGAACGAAGCTACGGAATTATCAGACGCAGATTTTGATGTCCTGTTGCTTTATTTGTCCCGCGATAGCAGTGCTATTGCCTATGATGGCAAGGTAAGTTGGACTATATAATATGGCCAGGATACCCAGATATTGACTGATTGATGGCTAGACAATTAAGTTCAAATCGGCAGATGAATCGGCGGAAATCACCCAACAGGACACAACTATTGCATCCATCAAGACCTTGCAGTTGACTATGTTGAAACAGGTCACAAGCCTGAAAGCAAAGATCGCTGAGCTGACCGCGTCTGCGAAGACGGCCTTGGCGAACAAGAACCGCATATCAGCGCTGTCCGCCGTGCGTTCCAGGAAAATGGCTGAAAAGAACCTCCAGGACAGAACTACCACTCTCATACAGCTTGATGAGGTTTATTCAAAGATCGAGCAAGCTGCAGACCAGGTGGAGATGGTGCGGATCATGAAGTCAAGCACTGGTGTGCTTCGCAGTCTACATACTCAGATCGGTGGTGCCGAGAGGGTTGAGGACATTGTTGAAGAATTGCGGGAAGAGATGGCCAAGGTGGATGAGGTCGGAAGCGTCATGAACGAGGCTGGGCCAGTCATTGACGAGGGAGAGATTGATGATGAGCTTGCGGCAATGGAGACGAGCGAGAGAGAGGCACTCGTCGAGAGCAGACTTGCCGAACTGGACAGTGTCAAGCAAGCCTCCGATGAGGCTTCCCGCCGAGCACGTGCGGCCGAAGATGCGGACTCGGCACTGGCAGATAACATTATTGACAGGCTCTCTAACATGTCCGTCGAGGATCGCCCGATGCAAGCAAACTGAGATCCTCCAAATTGTGGGAGAGATATCTGCCTTACGTGAATGAACAGTTTACTCTTCTGGGTGCTTCTCAATTCGAGTTCAATGTGGCTTCTTTTGAAATCACCCAGATAGGTTAATGACAAAATTAGGATCGGTGTCTGCGCTGAACTCAACGTGTGCATCATTCACCGGTAATCCAGTATCCTGCTGGGGTTGTGATTCCTTCTGTCTAGATGAAGACGGAGATGCGCCAGGGATAGTCGATCGTACTTGGGCCTCACTCTTTTTACGCGCATTTGCTATCAAACGCTTAAAGTCATCGTCGTGGTTGCTTGACCACTCATTGGTATCAAAGTCCTTGCGCATCACATTATTGGAGGTTGTGAATCGTGACGGCGCCGTCGCATGCCCACCCTGTGTGCGTTCCCAAATGTCCAGTTCCTGGAGCAATATCCGCTTAGATTTGGGGTGTTTGGAGTCGCAGTTTGCATTCCACAAGTTCATCCACTCGGTATGACGTCTCTGCAACAGCTGTTTTTGCCCCCAGTCTGGGATCCCGAGATCCCGGAGCTTTTTCCGCAATGAGTTATCCTTTAATATGGAGTAGTTTATAGCCGGAAGCCGTTCGGGCTGCTTGCTGGGGAGGGTAAGGCCTCTTTGGGATATGCCTTTTGATGACCTGTAATGCAATTTTTCTCCAATTAGCGCCATGTTCTAGACATGTAATAGAATTAACATACCCGAAAGATCCTGCCTTTGTAGGGGTTTTCTTAGGCGCTTCTTCTTCCTGTTGGTGTATGTTCAGATGTGGAAACACTGCCTCTTCCTTCATTTTGCGAAAGCATATTGGGCAAGCAACCAACCCATTCTCTGCGAGGGGATTAGACGGGTCAGGTTTTTATATGATAAAAGTGTCATACCAGGCATATATTCTTCATCGTCCTGACTGTCCTCGATGATCTCAGGCACGACCCGGGGAACCGTTCGCTCTTGTGCGGAGCTATTTATGGACATTTGGGAGCGAGTCCGTCGGCCTTGCGAATTTATTTCTGGGACCTGTACCTCCTCCTCTTCCACCCGATTGACTTTCCGCTTCTTTTGGGTTGGCTCCTCTATATCCTCCTTTTCTCTAGCCAGGCGCACATTTTCCCTCCTCGCAAGATCGAGAACACTAGGCCGTGCCAATTTGAACGCGTCGACGAGTTCCTGCATTGCCCAATTGCGACGCAGTTTGAGCTCTTGGTCGGAGCTCCGACACGCCGGACACTTGCCTTCGGTGCTGAGGCAACGGCGAATACATAACGAGCAGAATGTATGACTGCAGGAAGTAATAACAGGATTATCGAAGAAGTCTTTGCAGACTTGACATCGTAATGAGGATTCGAACGGCGCAAGTAGTGAAAGTGGCGTTTCCAACCAATCGGTGGAGTCGGGTAGCTCGAACGACTGATCCATTGAATTGAGGCCCAAGCCCTGAGCTCCGGAGCTCTTTTCTGTAGAAATTCTAACCGGACTCACCCGGTGAAGGCAACCGAAAAAGGAGAATTGTAAGTGGGTAGTAAGTCGCCTGAGGAGACCGCAAATGCCAAGACCCGCTGACTGATACGCGTTAAGTGGTTGAGCACGCGTCGGAGCAACTTGCACTTCAACAGCAAAGCAACTATGGATTCGAAGTTGTATCTGGCTGAAAATGTGCTCAATGAGCGGCGTCTTGTAAGATTTTCTCACACTCTTCAGACAAGCAGGAGCTTACTAGAATTAGGTCACGTATCGCTTATTGAGCCGCGCGTTGAAAGTACACGCCGATCGGGCCAAACAGTATGTTCTACGTTCGCAACAATGGGTATTGGATTTGGAGCTGATATTGATACTCTGTTGCATAGTATCCTGTTTGAATTCCATCGCAATGAGAACGCGAAGAAGCCAAAAACCGTCCACGCAACCTACGTCATCTCCGGTATCCAGAAAGCGCCCGAACCGACCCCTACGAACGGCCATGCGGACGATGAAGATGAAATGATGCAGAGTAGTCCCTACTCGACCGGCTCGTTGCCGGACGAGGATGCCTCAGACTCAATTCGCACTACCTCTATTATATTAGCACGCGAGGAAGACCTTGAAGGTACGCAGATTCGTCTCGGTGATGAACTGATTATTGAAGGAATCGACCAGATGCGAAAGCAACATTCCAGTCGATATCTACAATTCATGTCTACAGTCTTGAGGCTACAACTCTCCCGGATTTGAATGTGTTGGTTGATGCCAGTCGGGAGATTGCGAGGACACACGGGCAGGAGGATCCATTGGAGTGTGGCAAGCAATGGGGTATGATTCAAAATCGAGATGTCAGGGTAGGTCGTTCATTACTTCGACGGGTCTATCATGATCTAATGTTTATCTATCTTCCAGCGGAGGACTGGCGCGCACCCACCACCACCACCTGCAGCCCCATCTGCGAAGGCGCCGGCTGGCAAGGCATTGAAGCCTTCGACTGAGTCAATGGTACCCTCTAAACGGCCACTGCAGCAAGAAGCATCTCCAGCGAAAGCGGAAGCTACTAAGTTGGACAAACCGATGTCTGAGCCACCCTCTGCTACCAACTCCCAGTCATCCTCGAAGCCTTCGGGTAAAGCTGCGCCGGCCAAGCAGAAAGGCAATATTTTCAGTTCTTTCGCCAAGGCAAAGCCAAAGACAAAGACGCCAGCCCCCGCAGAAGCGGTTCGTGCCCTCACCCGTGCTGCATTCTATTAATATTATCTTTTTTTCTCTTACTGATCTTGTTCTATTAACTTTGACTACAGGCCACACCTCTTGCAGAAGATGGTTAGTTCGCCCCACTTAGATTGATGCATTAGCTAACATCTTGTAGCCTCTGAAGAAGAAGCAGAAGAATTGTTCCCTGATTCTACCGATAAAGTAGCAGCAGGAACCCGCGAAAACAGGAAAGAGCGCGAGGAAAAGCTCAAGAAGATGATGGACGATGATGATGACGAGGCTGCCGGTATGTCCTCATCTCAAATTGCACCTTGAGGAAATATTGAACTGACATGGATCCAGATGAGGAAATGCCTGATGCCGATGAGGAGCCACGGGAGCCCACGCCTGTTGAGCAACCGCCACCATCCAAGCCAGCTGAACTTAAAGAAGAAGTGACTATACAGGGCGGGCGGCGGCGAGGCAAGCGGCAAGTAATGAAGAAGAAGACGGTCAAGGATGAAGAAGGATACTTAGGTCCGTGCAACCCGCTGAGGCCCCTTCGTTTGTCGTATACTAATTTGTTGCAGTTACCCGGGAAGAGGCGACGTGGGAGTCTTTCTCCGAGGATGAGCCGGTGCCTAAGAAGAAGCCTGCGGTCAATGTTCCCAAAGGGAAGGCTGGCAAAGCTGCGGGGCAGGGTAATATCATGTCGTTCTTTGGGAAGAAGTGATTTCTATAGTATTATTGAGGTGGCTTTCTGAGAGCATAGATATCCAATACTAAAGCATACGTCCAGCTCATGTCAAGTATATAAACCCAACAAGGAAATGCCGCGACGTCGATCTTCTCCGCACTTTATGCGGGGAAGGGTGTCATCGTGCGTAGCGCGATGTCACCTCAATTTCGCGCGGTATTTAGTTCTCCGAGCGAATCACCTCAAGGTTTCTATATTATATGTCAAAATGTACTCCTAAACGGCCACGGAGAATTTGTATGTGTGCAGTGGAATGTATCCCTGTCCGGTTGAGATCGACACACATCCCCTCTTATTAACCCCGGCCTTCTTCCTTATAGCAGTGCAAGTCTGTCCATCACTTTCCTCCTATTTGACATTTGCGCCATGAATATTCTTACGGCGCTCGCAATCGCTCTGCTGGGCCTTCAGGCCAGCGCTCTCCCAGACAGAGACGACCCAGCCATCTTGCGACGTGCCTGCCCAGACTATACCTCCTATGCATCAACACCGCAGTGAGTGTCAATACCCCCATTGAGATATGTCAAGTATTCGCTAAACAAAACTTCAATATTACAGCGCTCCCTATAGTGGTGGTCCCTTGAATCTTCCCTTTCAGCGACCTGCGGAACCATGTCGGACATTCTCATCGCCCGCGGTGGAGAAGGTCATTGACGATATCACCTCGCGCCTAGTCGATAAAGATCTTGCCCAGCTATTCCGAAATGCATTTCCAAATACCTTAGACACTACAATTCGTTGGCATACAAACGGATCGACATCATCCGGCACCAATGCCAAGCGATCCGGCGCGCAATGGACCGGAGTGCAGACCTTCGTCGTGACGGGCGATATCAACGCCGAGTGGCTGCGTGACTCAACCAACCAGCTCACAAATTACCAGAAACTAGCTGCTAAGGACGAGAGTCTTTACTCGCTGATACTAGGTGCAATCAACACTCAGTCCGAGTTTGTCATCCAGTCGCCCTATTGCAATGCTTTCCAGCCACCGGCTCTCAGCGGCATCAAGCCAGAAGCCAGTAGCCAAAAAGACACTGTGCATCCTGCATATGACAGTTCTTTTGTATTTGAGTGCAAGTATGAACTTGACTCTCTGGCCCATTTCCTACAGCTAGGCACTGAGTTCCACGAAAATACTGGTTCAACTGAGTTCTTGACCGACCGCTGGTATAAAGCGGTGCAAACTGTGCTAGAGACCATCGACGCGGAGTCTCAGCCCACATTCAATACTCAGGGCCAGTTCGTCCAAAATCAGTACACGTTTCAACGAGAGACTACCATTGGCACTGAGACCCTCAACCTAGCTGGTGTTGGCAACCCGCTAAATAGCGAGACTGGCCTAATTCGCAGCGCATTCCGCCCCAGTGATGACGCTACGATCCTGGGATTCTTCATTCCGCCCAACGCTATGATGTCCGTACAGCTCCAAAAGACAGCGAAAGTCATCAAGGCAGCCGGTGGGTCCCCAAGTCTCGTTGCGGACCTGCAGGAACGCGGTATCAAGCTAGCCAAGGCAGTTCGCGATCACGGCATTGTTAAACACCCCAAATATGGAGATGTCTACGCATTCGAAGTTGACGGGTATGGGTCGCGTATTCTGATGGACGATGCCAACATCCCCTCACTGCTCTCGTTGCCCTACCTCGGCTTTGTGGACAAATCAGACCCCGTCTACAAGAATACACGCAAAATGATCACCGACAAGGCTTCCAATCCATATTATCTGGTGGGTACACAGTTCCACGGCATTGGTGGTCCACATATCGGTCTAGAGCACGCCTGGCCCATGTCTCTACTTGTTCAAGCTATGACCTCTGACGACGACGCTGAGATCATTGGAAACCTCAATCTCGTTCGTAATTCTAGCTTGCTTGGGCTTGTTCACGAATCTATCAATGTTGCCAACATAAAGGACTATACCCGTCCTTGGTTCGCATGGGCGAACTCGGTCTTCGCGCAGACTGTTCTGAAGATTGCTGCTGAGAGGCCTCATCTGATCTTCGGTATCAATGCAAAGCCTTATACTGTCTAATAAGGTTGATAGAATGCCTGCTTGTGTTCTATCCTTATATAGTCATCATTATCATTATCCCTATTCACTGCATGAATTCTAGGTTAGGTATAAACTACAAACTCGTGCAAGCCCATTCACCCATGAGTGACTTCGTATTTTCTTTCATACTTTAGACTGTCTCTTCTCAAGTGCCTTTCTCCGAGTGCGAATAGCCTTTGTCTCCTCCCTCAGCGCCAGTCCCGCCATAATCTCCTCACTTCCGCCGCCGACTACATGAACCCGAGCATCACGACTAATCTGCTCGATTCTAGCACCTTTGCCAGCCTTGTTATAGCCCGCACCTCCCATAATCTGCTGTGCTTCTCGAACACTCTTCTCCAGAGCCCTGGTCGACATGACTTTAAGCAAGGCAGTCATACCACCAATGTTGACGTCGTCGGAAGGACGGTCTTTGGTAAGTTCAAGGATGTTCACGAGCTGTTCCATGAAGGCATAGGCTGGCTCAATCATGAGGCCGAATTTGAAGATCTTGGATTGAATTGCTTGCTTTTCAATCAGTGGGGATCCAAAGGTCTCGCGTTGGATGGCGTAGTTGTAGGCATCTTCGGCACAAACTCGGGAGAGTCGCAATGACGCACACGCCAGAGTAAGGCGCTCTGGGTTGAAGTCTGAAGAAAATATTAGCAGCCAATTCAGACCCTTGGTAAGGCAACTCACTCGACATGATAAGGGGAAATCCTTTGTTCTCTTGGCCGATGAGGTTTTCGACAGGAACACGCACATCTTCAAACTCGATAAAGGTTGAGCCTATAGTTGTGTTGATTGGCGATGTCTTTCTTCACAGGTCATATTGAGAAAGAAGCACCCACCACTGGCATTCACACCCGAGTTATGCATACGCCTGCGAGTCACTCCGGCAGTAGCCAAGGGAATAACAAGCAAGCTGATACCAGACCTTCCAGGACCACCGGTCCTAACAGCAGCAGTGCA